TCCAGTGCATTTCTTTGTACTTAGAAAAGAACAGAAAACCTGTTTCCTGAAAACACGCTTATGATAGAAGCCAATGGGAAGCAGGTGAATTTCATAAAGAAAAGCTTCTGCTAAACACAATGTATAGTTTGTTCTTTCAGAGAGGAGACTGGTTTTCCAAAGGGAACAATCTGTGGTAAGACATTACATGTAGGGATGCACCAACATGGGCAGATCCAGTATTTTCTACAACGTACATACAGTGAGGTCCTAAAGGCTGAGACCATGTTAAAAATCTAGGATTTTTTTTCATTTAAACATGCAAATAAAACAAAGTTTTAGAAAAGCAAAAATGAAAAAGAAACATTAAAAGACTCATATAATTTTTCTAGGTCACTATTCAAACTTAAGTAAATTCGTGACATTAACCATGTCAGATTTTTTTTTCCTATCCTGTCCAACGATGGCTCCAGATGACTCTCGCATTGATTTGATCTTCTCATCAGACGCTTAATTAAAGATTCTACTTTTCACTCAAATTGGTATACTGTTAATATAATTTGTAATGAAATAAAATGCCCAAAATTTAAAAAGAGCACACGTTTCACAAGTGGTCCGAGACTTTTGGACCCCACTGTATCTGTCTACACAGATGACTATACATAATCATTTAGAAAATGTAGAAATTGGGACATTTCTATTTGTATAGGGTTACAAATGCAGGAAAATAAATAAAATGGAGACAGTTACCCAGAATCACCTAAAGATTCTGCTGGTCTGGAGCACAAGAAACGCATAATCAAGTATTGGTACACAGCAGATATGTCTTAAGCAATACCTGCTGATACAGATACAGAGCAAAGGTAACTCAAACTGCTTTTTAAAAATTTGAAATTCGGTAAAAACTTCATAAGAAGAGCACTGAGAAGACTGAGAAGATTCTCAGCAAAATCTGAAACATGCGAGTACTTCATGTGACAAATGCAAAACTTTGTTCCAAATGCTGTAGCTGTATGCAGGAGATGTTTGATTCTGTTCCCTCTGAAGACAAACGTGATTTTGTTGCAATGCACTTGTTTATGGTATTCTCCCTGTATTTGCTGCATTAGTCAGTGTGGCAAACAGGCTTTGCTATGTGTGGAACTTCTGTGAGACTTCAGCTGTTCCCAGACATCAGCATGGCCACCCGCAGGGCTCCACAATGGCCAGTGTGTCCCGGTGACTCCCCTCCCGCACCCTAGAGGTCAAGAGGTCAAGGCCCTGTTAAACTACTATGCAGATATTGGGGTTATGGTTGGGCTGTGGCCTCAGTGGTTGATTTCTCTATGAATGGTTGGTATAAATGGAAACTAATGTGAGCACTTCTATCTTCTTCCTACCAAAGACCTACGCCGATGCACAGCAGGGCCTCATCAATAGATCAGCTAGCTAATAGTCAACACTGAGGTCCTGCAGATTAAATGGTAATTGGTAAAAATCCCTCCAGAAATTGCTTGTTTTCAGCTGTTCATTTCTATCACAGCAACACAAGCCGAACCGACCACTTTTAACACAAAAACCTGCTAAATGTATTTAAGTCTAAGCTTTAGCATAAGTGTAATGTTATATATTAAATTAAAACAAACTATAAAAAGTAAAAGGTAAAGCTGAAAAATAAAGGCTAATTAACAGAACAACAAAAGCACCACCCATGCTAAAATATTTATTTAATATTTAATTTTTTTCCCAGGCCTATGAAGTTCCATTTTGGAGACACAAGTGGTGATATGCACATGTTGGTTTTTGTGACAAAAAAAAAAAACAAAAAAAAAAGTTATTGTAGCTTAGTTTCCATCTATGAACCGTATGGACTGGGGAGCGGTAATACGTTGTAAAACTTTTGTAAAGTTTTCATTTTGGAAATATGACGTTTTGGTCTGACAGTGATGACGTGTTGATTTTTGTTTTAAAACTATACCAATGCTTTTGTTATGTTGTATGTAGATTCAAAAAAGCCAGAAAAGGTTTGTTTCTCCTTGATATGGACCCTTTAAAATTTGTTTGTTTTGTTCACCATGAATTTGCATCGCGCAGGCTGTACCGCACAGACACAGACACATTTACAGACTCATGACACATACAGTCAGGCATATCCCTGAATGTTCAGGAAATACCATGAATGACTCAATGGGAATTTAACATTTTCCAAAGCTTAGGAGAAGTCCCTCTTCCTTAACTCCCCCTTTTTCAGCAAACAGACCTGGCAAAAAAATATCCCTCCTCCAAACGTGCACAATAGAGATGATTCAGGACGCTGAAAATAGAGGGCTTCAGCTTTCAACCAGCGCTTTTCATTGAGAGTAAAGAAGAGGCGATGGAAAGAGAGAAAACACATAGACTCTCTGTGATTAAAGCTCTCAGTTGGTTTCTTTCCTGCTGCCGTTAGCACACTGCTTTAGCCACACGGCTAAAATTTACAAGACTTGGTTTCACATTTGGATGAGCATGAGGCACAAGTTTTCCACACGGCAGGAAATGTAATCATGCTAGAAAACTTCACGCCAAGATTCCGCAAGGGAAAGGGCAATAGAGTGTGTGTGTGTGTGTGTGTGGGGTGGAGGACATAAAGTAAATGAAAATACCTGAGAATTACTTTAAAAGACTTTTCCCCTCCTAACAGCTCCCCAGTGCTGAGGTGTGACTGAACAAGTTGATGTTAGTGGGCAAATGTTCACTAGTCAAAAAAGTGAACGAGAAAAAAAAGCACGTCTCAATTTGTTATTGTGACAGTCAAGGAAGAAACTGTTCACTGGAACAGTCAGACACTGAAAACACATGATGCCTGTAAGACACTTCTCACTTTCTCTCAAAGAGTGAGATCTTATGATCTACTGCTTTCCACAAAACATTAAACGACGGGCATTAACTACAATTACTTTATTCTGAAAGATTTCTTAAAAGCAGTGGAATTTGTTACAGTCATGTGAGTGGACACAAAAAGCTTCATTAGTATGCATTAATTACTACTGCGAGCTGTAGTTTTTTTTACTGCTTTTGTTAGTTTGCTGCTTGTTGAGCTGTCCATAGGTCTAACACAAGCACCGTCCAGTGTAGTCCAAGGAAAGCAAAAGTGATCATATAGCAATATTTATCTGCTCTTCAGGAATATTGTCAACACTTAAATTAGGCCTGTACAAGTTATTTTAGAGCAGTCCAATATATGTACTTTTTGGTAGTACTTTATGTGGCATTACTGGCTCTTTTGGTCTCTTCCAACTTGTCAAACCTGAGAAAAACTAAATATTCTAAATATTGCAATGCACATTGTATATCAAGAAAATGTCTTGAAGTATCGTGATACTTGCCACATTGCCAACCCCTAGCTGACAGTATCCTCCAGTGTTAACATTACTGATTATATTGCCATCAACAGTCAATTATACTTGTTAATGATTCTTGAGATTCTTTGTACTTTGGTGGTAAATTCACCATGGCATTAGATGGAAACAGCAATTTTAGTTTTATCAAGAGAGCCATCTGGGAGGGATGTGTATTTGAACTTGAGCAACTGAAGCTTAATCCATCACTGAAGTTGCAGTGGTGAGCAATTATAAATTAGCCAAGACACATATGGTTCAAAAGGTCAAACTAGTAAATGTACCAGTAAATGAAAAAAATTGTGTAAGTGCATTATAAACACTGATTTTGACTGCTATTATATATTAAAAATACTCAGTGAATAACAAAAGCTCAAACCCTTCTCACCAAAGCATTCAAATCATATAACTTTTAAACATTTTCAGAAACGTATGTGTTTACTTCGAAACAAGTCGATACAAGACAGTCATCTAGTAGCACTAAGTCAAGTGGCTTCCTCAAATTAAATGAGCGGTAGGAATAAAAAACACTGCTAAATTAACTGTGCTTTATGAGAACAAGGCAATGTACAGCTGTCTTGTTGACATGCTATTCTGACCACTTGTTCCTCCCTGCTGTTAAGCAGATACAAGGTGCAACTGAATAAACAAATATTTTCCAACAGCTGAAAGGTCAGCTTTAATTATTAATGGACACATGATGTCCAGTAGTGTTGACTCACTGGAAAAAGACTGACATCCATCAGTTTGCACAAGCTAATGGAGAAATTCGGTGTGTAACTTAATCTGTAATAAGCCGTATCCATCAGGAAACCTTTAAGACCTTCTTTTTCAGAGTGAAGTGAATTGCAGGAGTTCTTGGTTTGGCCTTTAAGTTCTGAATTCGGTAGGGGCTGGGCAACTCAACGTAATGGGCGGTCTCTAATGTCATTGCCAGATGATCCACTGTGCTGTGCCTGAACAAGAGAATGTTGGCCCCACATCAAAAGGTGTTTCTAACTTAATGTTCACATGACGTCTGGCAGAGTTTTAACTGTACTCAACTTTCAAGCATGGATAGTAGGTTAATGGGAGTCTGATCATGTTCATCTGGCTTGGAAATGCAAAGCTGACACAAAAAGAAGGACCGAAAACTGTGAGTAAAGTCAAAGTTTTCACATACTGTGTAATGGGTTCCCTGAAAAGTAATAAACTATGTGACTATAAACTATAAATTGTTGATATTATACTGATCTCCAGGGCCAGTAACAATAACAAATCTGGTTGGTGGAAGAGCATGGAAAAACCGGAGGGGGAGGCGGAATATTAAGGGAATAGTTCAGCCAGGAATGCTAATGTTGCGAACGGTGAAGGAAGTTGAACAGTCAGCAATTTGCCCTATGTAATAATAATACTAATAATACTACTACTAATCATTATTATTATTATTATTATTATTATTATTATTATTATTATCATCATCATCATCACCACTATGTGCAGTCAAGTTGGTTCTGACTCCTAGACACCGTTTCTCCAGAACATTCTGACTTCTGTTCGGAAATGACATCATGGTAATTGGTAATTAGTAGTTTCCATTCGTTGTTAGCCATGTTGGCATATTTGGTTGAGCTTCTCTTTTAAAATGCTTCAGCCTATTGATGAGAATAATATTAGAATGCTTACTGATATAGAAGGTGCTGGGTGCCTCTGTCTCTTCATACTTCAGGGTCAAGAGGGTGCTGGTCTTTGCATCATGACGGAGCCAAAGAGACACACCCAGGATTACACATCCGGCCAACTGAGTGGACAGAAACAGAGAGAAAAAGTCAGATGATGAGTCTTAATTTCATACAGCCACTCTTTGACCTTTTACGTGTGAACACGTTCAAAGTTCAAGGTCACACTTCGTGTCCGCCTATAGAAGAGGAACCAGAAACCTACAAAATTTCGAATGCAACTTTATTACTCTTCTCTGACTTATTTTTTTCCGTTACTTAGAGGAAGTGTTGTGCTGGTGTCTGTCTGTCAGCAAATTCAAGCGACCCAGTGATCCTCATGTTCTTATCTCTAGCTCCTTCTGGAGTTTGCTTACACTCTTCAACAAAGGCTTGGGGGGCCTCGTACACATGGAGTCAAAAAACATCCATGCATGTGAAACCACCAGCACATATCCGTCAAGCGTTCTCTGCAGCTATCCGGTTCAAGACTCTCTTTATTTCTATTAGTGAGACTGAAAATAGCCCAATTCTGCTCAGAGAAGCACAGACACAAAAGGGCAAACTCAGAGGGCAGGATGTTCCTACAGCTCCGTAGACAGAGAAGGATTGGGGAAAAATTATAAAATAAGAGGTCAGAGGCTCTTGGGCTTGACCATTTAACAATGAGTGGTATTGTATGGGTGGGGGCTGCTAGAAGCGGGAAAGGGGCCTCTGTTTACAGATAAATCACTGTCCAATCAGACGCGGGCCGTGCGCAGCCGGGGCAGCTGGACCTCGTCAGGAGCGGACAGACGCTGTGGAGGAATGCAGGACACAAATAAGGGAGACGCAGAGACAGCCCAGTACCAAGAGGGATCTAGCTGCGCGAGTGAGGGAACATCCAAACATACCACTCACAGAAGAGTACTGGGAATATGGAGAGGAGCAGAGGTTTAAAGCAGGAATTCTGTGCTCTGATCTGAGCTCTCAATCATTGGCTGAGGAAACGAAAACACGCATGAAACTAGCATGAAAATGTTTTCACTGATACTGACACCAGTTTTAAAAGAAGCTAGAAATTCTGATAACATCAGCTGATATGTTCAAAAATTAAACCGATTCCAACAGTTTTAGTTAACAGTGTTTTACTTACTGATATGACTGTCAGCTATAAACTGTGAATTGTGACATGTCCAATCATTTCTTAAACTCAAATATACAGCAGAAAGGTTAAAGTCATTTATATGAATAGCAAATATTGTAGGGCCAGGGGCAGAGCATCCCACCATTTTTAGCAACTTTTTTGGATTCTGCCAATTAGATATAAAAAAGCGAAGGGAACTGAAAGAATATCTTTCATTAGATATAACGTTTACTATTTTTAACGTTTTCCATTTTCTTTACAATTAAATAGGCTGTTCATTAGCATGCTTTTAAGATGCTTTGATTGCTTTTATTTATTGGCAGTCCTGTATTGTCCCAGGCTGAAACACTCCTTATAACTTTCAATGTAAATGGGCATCGCCAAATGGCTGTAGGCTGAATAGAGGGATATACAGTCATCTACAAATATTTAAACATCCACTGGCAAATTACCCATTTTGTTGATTTTCTAAGTGAAAATAAGTTAACACACATATGGCATTTTTTTTGTCAATTTTAGTGCACAATTTCTATTTATTTTAGTTTATACATATTGGGAAATATTAAAAATGTGCCATAACGTCTGCACAGAACACACTTCATGCCCCCCCGCAAAAATGTTCAATTCAGCAAATAAACAATAAAGTGCAATTCTCTGCTAACTTACATTCACTTAGAAAAATCAACAAATGTGCCATTTGACAAGGAATGGCCAAACTTTTGCATATGATTTTGTGATATCAACGACTCAAAACAGCTTATTTTCCATATATGGACTGTATGGACTGGGGAGTTAACAGTCTAGTAGAGTTGTACAACAGCCGTTGATTCATTTAGAGAAATACATTTCACTGTATTACAAACTCTGGTGGAGCCTTAAAATCAGCCGCCCCTACATGAAATATTTTTTGACTTTCTTTCTGCCCCCTATCATAAGATCTCATCAATCTCCATCCCCTTTCTCATACACACACATACATACACACCCTCACACCAACTCTACATCTGTGAACAGCTGCAGAACGGAACGTATCCACCCACAGGTCAAACCCAAGGGATTTTCCTCACTTCACGGTGTGGCTCTCTCATGCCATATAAACACTGCTGTGGGAAGGCCAGGAATTTTCTTCTTTTTCCGTTTTTCAAAGCTACTAACTGATTATAACACCTGCTAAAATGACAAGAAATCAGTTTTGTTGCAGATACATGTATAAAACTACTCTAACTCTAACTCTAGTATCATAAACAGTAGGTTTCAAACAATTAGTAGAAAGCTGTAAAACTTAAGGGGCCTGTACCATGGAACACCAAACGTTCCTCAATTTTGAGTTTAATGTTGTGTGTAAACCCTGTTAAAGTTTCAAAACATACCTTTCACTCTTCAGTCCATATACAGACACTAAACTGAAAAAAAACAGCCCATTTTAAATTCAGTGTTTTTGTGAGGTCATGAAAACTAACATTTACATACATTGATCAATTTTGCCGACAGTGATTTAGCCCCACTCATTCGCATTGACGTTTAAAGGAGTGTTTTAGCCTGAAATGCTTTTTGAATGAAGGCAGCCAGTCAGAACAGAGATCATTTACATATATCAGTCTTAAAGGCACAGTAACAAAAACAGCATGTTTAATTCCAAGACACAAAATGGAAGTTCGAAAATGGTCACGCAAAATTAAATTATGGCCGTTTTTGGTACCAAAAAAAAAACAAAACAAAACAAAAAAAAAAACCACAAACATTACAAGTAAGACTTCCAATCCAGAATGCATCATATTTGAAAAGCAGTGACCAAATTTAGCTGACCAAAGAGCTATTCATAATAATTTTGTGACATGTTTTCTTGCTGTTCTCAAAATACTCTGAACTGTGAATGAACCATCAGTTTAGGCTTTCGTGTCTAGTTTACAACATTCAAATTTACACTAAGATTTTACTGAATAAGGTTTATTATTATGGCATGATTACAAACTTCTGAATGTCTCTAGAACAAGCACCAAACAGTCGCAGGCATTTTGCTGTCATATAAAAACCTCACAATTTATTTTCCTGTTTGTAAACTGTTCACACCATTTTAAAAACACTGTCCTTTACATTGTGTGACCATTTCATGATGAACAGTCCATTAGGAATGGTCCAAAGTTAATTGCAATAAAATCTTTCCATTTTCCATTATTTCCTTCTCCTATAAAAGTTGTCATTTCAGAGACATTTTTCTTGTTATGACATAAAAAAATGTGTTACTGTGTGGGTTATGTTATGTGTGCTTCTTCATTTGGCTAGTGTCAGCATCAGCCTAAGCATAGCTGCAGAAAAGTAACCAAATTCTGAATCAACAAAAGCTTTCCCTCAGTGGACACTGGATGTGTCTGGGAAGAGTTTCACCAGAAAAAAAAACCCCAAAAGAATCAGAGACCAACCCGATTCATGCCTGTAATCTGAACTGTTGCCATGCCAGATCGTGGCCCCAGGAGAGGTATAAAGTTCAACCACTCCTCTAAGGGTTTGTGGGTGTCTGACTAAGTGTCTGTGGGACTGATATAGAGTCTCTCTCTCTCCACTCCACCCCTCTCTCTTTAGGCCGCCTGAGCCCATTCCAGAGCTCAGGCAGCCCGTTGCTTAGCGATCGGGTAAACACAAGCACTGCCAAAGGGTGAGGCTGGAATCACAGCGCATCGCTGTGCAGCTTTCACAAAACTCATCTTCAGCAACTCACTCTGCTAGCCCGCAATGACTCGGCCATGCGCCTGAGGTTAAATCATTGGTGTTTCCCCCAAAACTGAAACAGGGGTTTCCCCAGAGTTCGCCTCAGGTTGAGTGTTACAGGTCTGAAGCGAAGCCCAGGCGTATCCAGTCAACAGTGTTTACAGGTTCAAAAATAACACAAAAAAGTACACATACAAATTAAAAGCTGAAAAAGCATGGGGAACTCTCACTACATTAGGAGTACCCAAGAGCCACCGCTGCTTAGTCAGACAGCCATTTCTGGAACATTCCGTCACTCCCCTCCAGCTGTCTCTTGTCCTGGTATAGGCTGTAGCTTCTCAAATGTCTACTGTACATTATCTCTGGCCAACACAACACACCACAACCCACTCACATGCACGTGCATGAGCTTAAGCTACCTCATGACTGTATAACTAACTTTGAATGTCTACATAAAAATAAGGAGTAAAAAGTATTGTCTTTATAAAAACAGCTGAGTAAAAGTCATATTAAATTTCAATAATAATCAGAATAAAGTACTAAACCTACAGTAACAAAGTACAATTACTTATAGGCCTGTGCAGTTTACAGTATCCTCTTATTCAGATAAGTAAAGGAAAGTACTTGCGGTAAATGGTTAAAGTAAGTTTGGGGTAGACCATCACTAATGATCTGTCCCAACCTCAGAAGCTGAAGCCAGCACAGTGATAACATCCGAGTTGAAGCCTAATCTTTGTCAAGTAAAACATACAATAAACATACAGCTCAGTGAAAGTTGTGGTTGTAGCATCATTATCTCTTGTTTGGGATGTCCTATACATTGATGTAATAGTAAGCATCTTTGGGTTCTTGAAAAGTCTTTATAAGTATCATGTTATTCTTATTTTTATTACTATCATATTCAATTTGGCCACGACTTCCGAATGTCATATGCAGTTTACCATTCATGCCGTGTAGGGCTGGGCGATAAAGCGATAACGATAATTGTCGCAATTTAACTTTTCCGCGATAGAGCAATAAGGCATGTTCGACAAATGTTCTATATAATACACCGTTCTCACACGTCCACGTTCTAGCGAAAGCCCTGGTGGCTTTTCTACTGCAAGGAAAGCGACACTACTGTGCTGTCGCCAGGAGAGGGCGCACTTCCGAGTTTTTCTACATGATTAGAGAGGGAGGGGGCCACGAGTAAGATGAGTCTTTCACAACGGCTGAAACGTGGAGTTTTACATTCCCTGTTTGAGTGGAGCG